GGACGGACCCCATCGTCCCTGGCCTGCCTGGTGAGCACTGGTCACAAAGCCCCAGCCGAGAGACGACGCGTCCGTGAACACATCGAGTGAGGGCTCGGGAAGGCACCAAGGCACCGAACCCCGAAAACCCCGAAGAGGAAGCCGGTGACGCAGCAATCGACACAAGGCCCCCGGAGGACGAACCCAACAATCGCGAGAGAGGCGGAAGGGACGTCCTTGAAGGAACCAAAATAGACGCCGAAGCCAAACTCGACCAGGCGGGTAGACCAGCACAGCAAAGTTCAGAGTCCTGCACAACCGCTCGAGCAACTGCCGAGTTACCCGGAACCCCCTCAGAAACAGCCGACAGCGGTCTCGCAGCTGCAACAACGCCTCTGGAGGGAGAGACAAGGAAGCGGTCCGAGAATCCCAAACAAGACCCAGCCAGGTTCGAACCTGGGACGGAACCAGATGGAACTTCCTCCAGTTCACCAGGAACCCGAACCTGGCGAGCTGGGAAAGAACCATATCCCTGGCGAGCAGACAAGCTGACCGACTGGGAGCCCACACCAGCCAGTTGTCAAGGTAGGCCAAAACCCAAATCCCTAGAAGGCGCAGACGGGTCACCACAACCTGGGAACACGTGGGAACACCACAACACGTGAAAACGCGAGGTGCCAGATTCAAGCCAAAAGGTAGGCATCGAAAACGGTAAGCGTGACGCCCCACCAAGAAACCTAATCAGTCCCTGAACTCCGGATGAATAGGAATATGCCAATAGGCGTCCTTGAGGTCCAGGGACACCATCCAGGCACCCGGCTCCAACAGAAGCCAGACCTGAGACAGAGTAGTCATCCGAAAGGAGGGGCAAGGAATCCAGGGGTTCAGACGGAACAAGTCCAGAATGAACCTCAGATCCACACAGTCCCGTTTCGGTACTGGAAACAGACGGAAAACCTACTTGAGGGACGTAGTCGTTTCGACCATGCCTGAGCGCACCCACTCAAAAACGACTTGACGAAGCACAGGAGAAGAAACTTGCCCTGTTAGCCCCAAACCCTCCAAAGGAGGACAAGTCGCCCAATGCCACCGCAGACCAGATGACACGACCGAAAAGGCCCACAAATCGTCAGACCAAGCGTGAGCAAAGAGAGTGAGCCTCCCCCCATCGCCCCGTCAGCGGGGCGAACCGCGAAAGGGCCGACGTCCCTATGAAAACCCAAACGTATAACACCTCGACCAGCGGAACCCGGAACCCTGGCACGATCTCTTCGAAACTGCCAAGAATGACCGCTTTGGAGAATCAACATGTCCACCATAGGACCACAACTGGACGAAACCGTGTGCAGAAACTGAGAGACCGCAGTCTCTGCAAACAGCAACGGACAAAACGGAAACGAAAACCTAAGAGCTAGGGCCCAAGCGGATTCCAAAAAGGGCGAGCACTGCCTGACGGCTCGCGAGGTGAGAAGCAAAAAACAGAGACACCGCTTCCTTCAGGATGGGCGCAAAGAGCTTCAACAGTGCAGCCAACACTCTAGCTGCTGAAGTCAGCGCCCCAGACGAAGGCCCTTCACTCAACGCTCCCACATCCTCCTCAAGCCAAGCTGAAAACAGCTCAAGAAGGAAAAAGAAACGCAAGACCGAAGCCAAATGCCCACGGGCGCGCAACTCCTCTGCATCCAACGAAGCCGAAAGCTGAGGAACCTGCACGTGAAGCTGGAAAAGGCCAACATCCCGAGACAACCCGTTCTCGCAAATTCGTAAAGTCAATATTGACTTATTAACTACGTGCATAGGTGATATACTAAACATAATAGATACCCTTAAAAAGATTCATAGAAAACACCGACCTTACCTAACCTTGTTAGTATCTTAAGATAAGCATCTTATTGCTTCGTAATTACAATTATTACTTAACCTATACCTATTATAGGTTAGGTAATAATTGTAATTACGAAGCAATTAGATGCTTATCTTAACATACTAAGTAGGTTAGGTAAGGTCGGTGTTTTCTATGAATTTTTTTAAGGGTATCTATTATGTTAAGTATGTCACCTATGCACATATTTAATAAGTCAATATTGACTTATTAAATTTGCGAGAACGGGTTGCCCGAGAAAGCACGGAAGCAAGCGTGCGGGTCCGACAGAACCCATGCCACCCCCCCAATGAAAAGAAAGGGCAGTCTGCCAGCCAGGAAGACTCCGGAACCTCCAAACGCACCCAAAAACGGGAAGAAGAACTGAACTCAAACGAGGATGGATCCATTGCAGAGGCATAACCCGGGTCTCGCAAGAGGTAAGCAGCAAGAGCTTCCTGAGCCACCTTCGTGGATATACGGTAAGTAGAAAACCTCTGGAAAGACGGATCCAAGGTACCCAAAGGTGGCTGGAACCGAACCCGGGGAGGAGCCGAACCCAAATCATACTCATAAAGGGAAGAGGGGTAAGAAAATCTCTCCCCCTGCAACAATAAGCCCCGCAAGGAAGGCAAAAGCACCCAAGCAGGGTCAAAGGGGGCCCAAAGCCTCCGGGTCGACTCCTTCCCAGCCCCAAGATCCTCCACGTTGGGACCCGGGGCAAAAGCGTCCTTCAAACCCTCTACCTCTGAAGAAAAGGCAGAGTTCAGGGAAAAGGCAGACAAGAAGGGGGCCTGCTGGTGGGCCCCAGAAGCCTCGGCAGGAGGAACCGGCTCAAATGCCTCTGTCCCATTACCAACTAAACCCCGTGCCGAATCCGAACATGCACATGGAGCTGCACCGCACCAACATTCTGCAGAAGGACAGGAGCGAAAAGACACTCAATCATTAAGATGCTCAAAATTACCCCCCAGGTAAACCTTTACCACCGTCAACGCCTTGCGCCACTCAAACGTGCGGATCCAACAGAACGAGTCCCAAGCATCCAGCCAAAACATGGGGCAGTCTGCAAGCCAGGACAACCCCGGAACCTCATAACGCACCCAGTAAGGACAATGAGGTAAGCCGCAATGGCCGACTGCACCTCAGGCGGAGAGATGCGGGTAGCCGAAAACCTCTGGAAAGACGGAACCAAAGAATCCACAGGGACACGGAACCGAATCCGGGGAGGAGCAAAACCCAAAATAAAATCGTATGCAGAGGGGGGAAAAGTAAGCCCTGCTCAGAAGGACGGAAAATCCAGGCGGAGTCCAATGGAGCCCAAGGCCCCCCAAGTCAGCTCCTCCCCAACCCTAGGAGTCTCCACACCAGGCCCAGGGCCGAGTTGTCCTCCAAAGCCCCGGCCTCACAAGAAAAAGCTGGGGCAGCCGAAAGAGCCAGAAGAGAAGGGGCCCACTGGTCAGACCCCGGAGCATCAGCTGGAGAAACAGACTGGAATGCATCTGCAGCTACTCCAGACGGGGCAACCCCCAACACTGCCCAAATCTCATCCGAAGCCTTCAGATACTTAGGAGCCGGAAGCAGGGGCAGGGGGGAGGGGGGGACAGAATGAATCACCGAAGGGGAAAAACAAGGGGCGCAGACGGACCCAAGGCCGAAGCGACCAACAGTCCGGGTCCTTATACACAAAGCAGGGCAGCCTTGGGGCGTCCGGGGAAGTGACAACCCGAGTGCGTTGCAACAACCTAAACCTACCCTGCAACGCGCGAGCTGCCTGCACCTGAAATAAATCATCAGCAGACTGGGTGAATTGAGTCACGAACAAGCAACACAGCTCGCAGGACTCGGGGTCGAATGTGTCACCGACCCAACAGGCAGCATGACGGAGGCAAAAACAAAAAGAGTCACCCTGAGACAAGGGGACAGAGCAAACCTCAAACTCGCACAAAGCAAGAGGGGATGCAAGGCTCTCCTCCATCGAACTCAAGAGCCCCCCGCGGGGTTTTCCAGGGCCCCTAGACTGGGTCTGCTAAGGGTTAGCCCAGGCAGGGCACTGTTAACTAGCGCCCCAAACTACCAAGCAAACTGCTAAAAGCTGAACCCACGGGATGTGTCCACTCGCGAGAGCGAAGCAGGGGGCGCCACCACACAGACGACCCTAATATAAGGGGGAGGGAAACACAAGGCAGACCTCTCCACCAGGCAAAAAGAAAAAGAAAAGAAAAACCACGCAAGTGGACAACGTACCTAGAGGGAACAGAGCCGGACACTGTTATAGGTGCAAACTAGCTATGCAGTACCTTGCGCCCCACCAGTGCTATAATTACCACTAACCCCAAGGTAAACAGGGGAGGAAACCCCCCAAACACTCGGGGCAGCCAAACGCCAAACAGCGAAAGGCCAACAGAGGTAGACCCAAAGTGACTTGTGGAAGGCAACCCCAAGCCCCAAGGGTGGTACTTACAGGGCACTCAGGGAGGGTGACCCTAAGCACATGCAGCCCGAGTACCTGAGAATAATACTCCCAGCTCACACAACCATCGTAAGAGCAGTACTGAAAACAAGTCTCAGCACTGAGACAAGACTGGAGCCACACGACCATGCTTGATCCCATCAGCCGAGGAACTGGGTCAGGGATCGCCGGCGCAGGGGTCAGGGGCTCCCCCTTCCCCCTCCCAGGGAGGGTGAGAGCTGTGCAGACATGCGGCGCAGCTCGTGTGACGTCATGCTTGTTTGCTCGTTTTTCTTTTTTGGAGTTCTATCCACTCGTTTGTCGATTTTCGTTGTTAACCAGAATAGGGGTTTGTTTTGTGGCGCTTACCTTTCTGGGTGCCTGTCCCAGTCAATGGTAGATATAGAATGCTCCAAATCACATGTGCATTTCTATGGGCCATTTCTTCCCGTGCCTCTGGGAGGGGGCAGGTTCTGGCTCGTGGTCCCCGGTAGGCCTAGAACTCCACCCACATCGACTGATGCCAAACGTTAGGACTACCCATCTCAGCCTGGATAGCTCCGGGGAGCCGTTGGGGGCTCCCCCCAGAAAATCTTACTTTTTTGTATGTAAATGTATCATTTTAAATTGCTTTTTTTTTATTCATACAGATGCCTTTGATCACAGCCACACTTAAGGGATCAAGAACATTACACAAAAATGACTAACCTTTATAGATGCCCAAATTTGTTTCTTGTGAGGGCCCATTAGACATTGAATCATTCCTTCCATGGCTGCCTCACACCACTCTGTCTCAGGGCCTTTTGGTGGCTGCACCTGGTACAGCCTCACACCAACAGCACATGGATCAATGCTTTTGCCTTGTGGTGGACACTCGCGAACACTGGAGAGCATACACAGTGCTGTGTGTTAGATCTATCTGTTTTGCACATGTACATACTTTATTAAAGAATTAAAAGAAGTTACTAGCTAGTTCTTAATTATTATCCAAGATTACACACTGTGAAAAGTAATTATCAAAAGATGACACCAAGCCAGGAAGACTATGAGTAACATTTGTGTTGCTAGATATTTAATAGGCATTAAATGTCACACAAGATGCCAATATGAGAACAAAAGGACATATGGCAAGTGATTTCAAAGACATTGGATTCACAAAGGATTCTATCGAGGGGGCAAATGACCCCTAAATACATTATGAAAGCAAGATCATCCTGAAAACTGGAACATTCTAGAAGAACAATGACCATAAGTGGGACAATGCATTTCAGACAAAAAATCAGTGTTTAATGTAATGAAATGCCATTTTCTTGGTGAGACCTGGAGGCTTCCCGGAGCTTTACCAGGCTGATATGCTAGTGTCAGACTTTGGCATCAGTCATGTGTATGAAGTTCTGTGGACCTACTGGGGACCACAAGCCAGAACCTGGCTCCCCCCTCAGAGGGGCATGGAGAGCAATGGCCTATAGATACCCTTATGTGGTTGGAAGCATTCTATGTCTGCCATCGACCGGGTCAGGCACCCAAAAAGGTAAGTGTCCTAAAACAAATCTCTATTCTGGTGAAAATTGCTACCAAAAGCCAAACAAGTGGATAGAACGCCCCAAAAAGAAACGAGCAAACAAGCATGATGTCACACGTTTTATACGTTGCTGCGCCGCTGTCTGTGCAACTTCCCAGACCCCCGCCCAGCTATCCACCCTTCAGTTCTGAGGCTGGATGTCAAAACACACAAAAAAAACCAGCGAGAGGTTTCAGGGAGCAATGGCCCTGGAAAACCCCATATGGTTGGGGGTTTTCCTTATCTGCCATCGACCGGGGTTAGGCACCCAGAAAGGTAGGCGTAACAAAACAAACCCCACATGGTAAGAAACTACAACAAAAACCGAACAGAGAGGTAGAAAACTCCCTACAATCCCAAGGAAACAAGCAAACAAGCAAACATCACACTTTACTGCCGCGCCGATCGTCCGCGCAGCCCTCCCCACCCCGGGAGGGGGAGGGGGGAGCCCCGGACCTACCGCGCCGGCTGCCAAGCTCCAGTTCGGAAGCTAAGCTTCAACCAACGCGAAAAAACCGCCGACCGGTGGGAGGGAGGGTTTCCAGGGAGCCTCCGGGGCTCACCCAGAAAATGGCGTTTCATTACATTCAACGCTGGTTTTCTGTGGGGAGCCCCTACGGCTCCCTGGAGCTTCATACTCAAAGAGAAGGAAAAGAAAGGGCTAACCCGGGAGGCGGCCGCCACAAACTATGCAACGCAAAGCCAAGACAACCGGTCGCAAACCTGCGACCCAAGGCAACAAGAACGCCCAAGAACAGACGCACATATGGATGGGCGGCCAAAAACCTGGGCGACTCACAAATCCCTGCGCCCGAAACGAGCCCGAGACGTCACCAACACAGCAGCAAATGCTGCAAACGTCTGAACAGCACGGGCGCAAAGACAGACCGCAGGAAGAAGGAAAACACTGCGGACGACCCGGGAGACCCGAGCCCTGAAAACAGGGAACGAAGGAACGGGATCAACCACAGCGCATCCCCAGGCACGGTACGCCGGCAACAGCAAAAAGCACAACCGGACAACACAGGACGCACCCCCCGGCCAAACCAAACAAGTACCAATACCCCAAGAACCCCTCCGGAAAGCAGCCGTCTCGACCGTCGCCAGGACAGAGAAAGGCTGCACACCAATAAAGCTACCACCAGTACCAAAGAGGAGGAAACTGAAACTGAAGGGGCTACCACAAACTGAGGGGAAGATAAGAAGGCACCCTGAACAAAGACCAGGATGGCTCAGGCGACTCATGAGCAGGCCGGAGGGTAAACAAAATGCGAGAAAACGTAATAAATGTCATACTGTCTCCAAGACGAAGCTCGCAGGTGGGACACCGTCAACAAAGCCACCTGAACACCATAGAAATGGTGACACCTGCGTCAAAATACCAGACGCAAAGAGCCAAAGAGAAGGCCGAACCAGTCACGGACAGGACCGATTCGGCCCGCTGAAAAAGGCGAAGCCTCAGGAAAAACGCCCCGGGTACGGACACCTATCAAGCAGCGTCTGAAAAGAAGGCAGGGCCGGCCACCATGGAACCATAAGGACTGTTCTCGTGGGAATGGGCTGCAACCGAGCCAGAACCCGAAGCAACAGCTGGACCGGGAGAAGAGGTACAAGTACCCCCCACCTCGACCAGGCCTGCCGAAAGCCTCCACCATGAAGTCCTCGCAGGTGGGAAGGGCGCCACAAAACGGGCGACGCCTAGACCACGCCGACCCAAAGACGTCCATGGCCAGGAGTCCATAAGCCCAACAGAGCCAACAAAACGAATCGGCGACGACTGGCCAACCCACGAAGAGGAATGAACCGAGACAGCTGTCCACCAGGACGCAGGACACACCCCGGACACGAACCACACGGTTAACCAAACCCCCTGTGGTTCCGGCAAGAACCACCAGAGAACAGTCCAAACAGAGCTGAATGGTAGAGTACCTAGTGACCCAAACCCTCCGAAGCGCAAACCAGACAGCCATGAACACCTGAACCGGGCTGAGAGCCCGACGGACAGACAGACTCCATCAACCTCGGCCGACCTGGTGAGCACAGGTCACAAAGCCCCAGCCGAGAGATGACCCGTCCGTGAACACATCGAGCGAAGGCTCGGGGAGGTGCCAAGGCACGGAACCCCGAAAACCCCAAAGAGGAAGCTGGTGACGCAGCACCAACACCAGATCCCCAGAGGAACCCAAGGAATGCAAGAGGCGGAAGGGGAGTCTCCGTAGGAACCAACCGACGCCGGAGCCAAACCCGACTCCGTGGACAGACAAGCACGCCGAAGTGCAAACTCCCGCACAACCGCCCGCACAACCGCTGAGCAACCCGGGACCCCCTCCTGAACAGCCAAAGGCGGGACCACAGCCGCAGTAACACTTCCGGAGGGAAGACAATGAGGGGCCCAAGAGCCTGAAACAAGGCCTAGGTCCGAACCCGGGACGGAAACAGAAGGTAAAACCGCCAGATCACCAGGAAACCAAACCCAGCGATCTGGAAAGAACCATCCCCTGGCGAGCAGACAAGCGGACTGACTGGGAGCCCACTCCAGCCAGTCGTCGAGGTAGGCCAGACACCGAATCTCAGACGCAGACAGGGCACTAAGATCCGGTAAAGATGCAAAGAGTATACAAAGTGCCCTTTACAAAATAGGGAAGGCAATAAAAACAGCAAACCTGAAGCCCCACCACCAAAGCATTATATGACAATCATATTAAGACATATCATGACATATGACAATCATGATATGACAATATGACAATTATAATCAAAGCATTATATGACAGAGTGCTGGGAAGACGGGACACCACGAGAGTAGCTCTCATCCTGTAACTACACTTAGGTAAGTACACATAGGTAATTACCAACCGTGCTAGCCCCAGAAAAACTGGAGAGGAACGTGCCAAGAAGTGACCTGGAGGTCCAGGTCCACCATCCATGCACCCGGCCCTAACAGAATCCGAACAGGAGACAACAGTCCTCCGAGGAGGGCAGAGGATCCAGGGCGCAGACTGAAGTAGTCCAGAAGAACTGCAGACTGGAAAAGCTCATGACTGCAAAGAGCAGACGGGAAAAGCTCATGACTGCAAAGAGTAGACGGGAAGCCCAGAAGGATGGGGCGGATCAACCACGCCCCACACACCCACGAAGAGGAAATGACGAAGCGCAGGGGAAGAAGCCCACCCCGCCAGCTCTGAACCCCCCCCCCAAGGGGGAGAAGCCGTCCTCCGACGCCAGCAGAGGCCGGAAGACAACCCAAAGCGCCCACCAACAGCGGGACCAAGCGAGAGGCAACAGAGCAAGCTGCTCCCCCAGCGCCCAGTCAACAGAGAAGGGAACAGAACCCCTTCAGAAAGAAAAAGTACACTACCGAAGTCATGAGGAGAGACTACGGGAATGAAACCACACTTCGCTGTTAGACGAAGTGAGGGGAGACCTGATCACCACATTCAAGATACCCAAGGGAATCGACAGGGTTGATAAGGACAGGCTATGTAACACAAGGGGCACACGCACTAGGGGACACAGGTGGAAACGGAGTACCCAAAAGAGCCACAGATAGAATTAATTTTTTTTTTTTTTTTTTTTTTTTTTTTTTTTTTTTTTTTTTTTATAGTGTCAGAATGGGAACAGGAAAGCACTAGGAAGTAATGTGGCGACTCCTCACACAAGTAACGAGGCTGACCCCCATACAATGTCACATGTAGACATGACAGAGCCCAAGAGGCACAGAAACCGATACACCTTCCTGAGACCTGGAATTTCAAGAACAAGAGGTCATAGATTTAAACTAGCTAAACACAGATGCCGAAGAAATATAAGAAAATTCACCTTCGCAAATAGAGTGGTAGACGGTTGGAACAAGTTAAGTGAGAAGGTGGTGGAGGCCAAGACCGTCAGTAGTTTCAAAGCGTTATATGACAAAGAGTGCTGGGAAGACGGGACACCACGAGCGTAGCTCTCATCCTGTAATTACACTTAGGTAATTACCTGTTGATAGACGGTTGAGAGGCAGGACCAAGGAGCCAGAACTCAACCCCCGCAAGCACAACTAGGTGAGGACATATATTGTAAAAGTACAAGTCGCCGACTAGTGGGCAGAGAGCACTACGCCGGCCAGGCAAAGAAGGCACAAAACTGCATCAAAAAGGCCCACCTCGACAGCAAAACCACAAAGTCCCAGCACAACCACAACATGTGCCAAGACCCAAAAAGCTCAGTCTGCAAGCCAGGAAGACCCCGGAACCCCAAAAGGCAGAACCGGGTCACACGAGGAAACAAAGTCCCCTGAACCCACAAAAGGGGGCCCAAGAGGAAGAAACCTCCAGAACGAA